GTTGACCTGAATATTCTGAAGAACAAGTTAACTAAACAATGAAGACATGCTACTTTTATACCTAATAGAAATACCTGTTCGCTAATGTACTTGTTCGACACTATCGCGCTATGCGCCCTAAATGACACTGAAGAGACGCGACTGTTCGCGTGACTGAAACGACTATCCTCATGACGAGCGCTATTTGCTGACGTCATCCTATGGACTTCTCTTCTACGGTAGGATTCGACACTATCTATCAATAATCGACTTACAGAAACGCAAATTATGAATCATATCACAACACTCCCCTTCATTTTTGGAAGTCTGATAGTGTCACTTCTTGAAGATCCCGCAAAGTTCGTTACAGTAGTGAAACTTCAGTCGTGTCAGTTTCTTCGTGAGGAAATCTGCAGCCATTTCGTTGGTTGAACAGTAGACCAATCGCATCCTCCCCTTCTCAACTTCATCCTTAACGAAAAGCAACGCAGTGAAATGTGTTTTGTCCTGTTGACGAACCCGGGCTGGTGCGCGATGCGAATTGCACTCTGGTTATCGCACTGTAAAGTAAACTGAGTACTCATCGTCAATTTCGCCTCTTCCAAGAGCTCCTGCAGGTAAAGCCCTTCGCGTGTTGCTGTGCACACAGCGATAAATTCAGCTTCAGCAGAGGAGAGAGCAATGATCTCTTGCTTCGTCAAATTTCAAGAAATAGGCCCGACAGGTTCGAGGCGGTAGATAAATCCATTACGCGAGCGTCGATTAGTAGTGTCAGTAGCGTGATCGGCGTCAACAAAACCGTTTAGATATAGTGTTTTACAGCCGATGACGTTGTAGACCAAACCGACGTCAGGAGTCGATATGAAATATTGAAGCGCTCGTAGGAGATCAAGTTGATGCTCCCCTTCAGGACGGCGTAAATATTGAGCGAGTTGACTAGCCGCGTAGGTTAGATCTGGACGACAAGTAACAGCGGCAAAAAGAAGACAGCCTAATTGCTGTTGATAAGTCTGTAGATCAGTGAGATTCAGTGGTGTAGTATTCGGCTTGTGATCTGTCGGTAGGGAACGGTATGGTGTAGTGACTGTGGTAGGGGTGAGATTGAAGCGGGCAGCAAGCGTAGCTGCATACTTCGAAGCAGTTAGGTGAATGGATGTGGATGAGCAGGTAATGTTCAGTCCGAGAAACTGTGAGACTGACTCGGAGACGGTGAGCTGTAAGTTTTCCTGTAGTTTCTGTATGAAGATGTTGGCGAGTGATTCAGTCGTGCTGACGTAGAGAATGTCGTCGACATAGGCGACGAGTAGAATTTAGTCGCTTCCAGCAGTTAGAAGGTACATCCCTTGATCATGCGGTAGTTGACGGAAACCAGCAGTGAGAAGCTGTGAATGCAGATACTGCTGCCAGAGCCGAGGTGCCTGCTTAATGCCGTAGAGCGACTTTCTGAGATGGCATACACTCGGTGGGTTAGTAGTGTACGAGTGTGGGTACTCTACCAGAATGAGCGCATCGATGGGTGCATAGAGAAATGCATTCGCCACATCGAATTGGCGAAGATGTAGGTTGCGGCAGGCGGCGATACATAGTAGGATTCGAACACTCGTATGTCGACCGACGGGAGCAAAGGTGAGTTCGTAGTCAAGACCAAAAGTCTGCTCGAACCCGCGAACGACCCATCGCGCCTTGAATTTCTCAAACGATCCATCTGCATTTGTCTTGACACGGAAGACCCACTTGCCGGTAAGAACTTTTCTTTCCTTTACCTCTGGTATCGGTATCAGCTCCCATGTACCCAACTCTTAAGAGTTGTTAGCTCTCTGTCCATGGCTTCGCGCCATTTTCCTCAGTGAGGACTCGTAAGAGCTTGTCGAACTATTTTCGGTTCAGATATTTAACTGTCGTTGTACTGTACCGCAACTGCGAATCCAAGGACCTGCAAACCAGTTACGCGGACGTTCTCCATTTGCGCCTGAGATATTTTCTTCTGACCCTTCTTCCCCCCCAATTTCATCAGGTGTAATACGGAGTGCTTTGTTGGAGACAACGGGCATCGGCTGCTGTTGACGATCGCGTTCGTAACTGAGGTGTACTTCGCGAACGTCATCCAGGTCAGCATCAATGAGGGGAATAAACTCTGGGATGCCAGACGACGTGACACGTTCGGGAATGTCTCTGGCGGCAGCTTCGGAGACTTCGGAAACTGCCTTGTCTTGTACAGCAGCTTTTTCTTCGTCGGTTGCAAATGCACGTGAGCCTTCGAACAGCCTGGCGAGGTTGGCAGCTGCTGCCTTGTGGGCACGAAAGACGGGCAAGGTGAGTCTTTCATAGAAAAAACAATCACGTAAAGGGATGATATGGTTTGAACGTAGATCCAAAATCTTCCATGCGTGATACTGTTTTTCGATGCCGAAGTGGACCCCCCATTTTGCCCATTCTGAAAATTTGCCAAGTGCTGCAGTAGGAGGTCTCTACTGTACGACGCACCCAAAAACTCATAAGAGTTTTGTACTTCCCACTGTACGTGTCCACTGCAGGTGGGGAGAAGAAAATTCGGGTAGTGATGTTGATGGCAGCAGGTTATGTAACAACACGGCATGGTCCATCGCATATGGCCAAAAACGAGGAGGAAGAGCTGCGTGCGTCAGCAAAGCACGCATCTTCTCTTGGAGAGTTCGATTCATCCGTTCTGCTACCCCCATCTGTTGGTATGCATGTGGCAGAGACTGCTTCCTTTTGATGCCGAGGGTTTGGAGGTAGTCTGTGAAAGTGTTGCTCGTATACTCCCCTACGCCATCACTATGAAATTTTTGCAGTTTCGCTCCAGACTCTCTTTCAGCGACAGCGAGCCATGCGACGAAGACCGAATGGGCGAGATAACGAGCAGGAAGGTTGGCTGTCCAAACGTAGCGAATAGATGCTTCGATAAAGGTAATCACATACTGCTCCTCTTTAGGTCCTGCTTCAGGTAAGTTGAGAATATTGCTGTAAGCTTTCTGCATCAGTTGATAACGAATTGAGCCAGGAAAATGACTCGGAAACAGGTCGTGGGTAAGATTGGCGATCGGACACATGGTGCAAACCGTAGGGCGAGACTGTGGTTTCATCTCCGTACCGTCAGGTAAGAGAAGACTGTTTTTATCACGAACTGCTGCTCGAATTGAATGATTTAAAACCCCTTGCGATGGATGTCCTAACCTTTGATGCCAAATGTCTCAAAGAAGCTTAGAACACTAGCTAGGTAGCTAGGATGAAGGAACGTAGGTAGGCAGCCACTAGGAAGCTAAGAAGGCTGCCATGAAGATGGCGGCGGGGTTTAGCTAGAAGGTAGGCGAGAGTGTCGAGAGAGAAGTTGTCGATTAGGAAGAGAGAGGAGTACAAGGAGGGGATTGTACCCTCTACAGAAAGGTTCAGTAATAGCTATCAAGCCTATCAATTATATATAACTTATATAATCTTGACACACCCCCTAGGCTTGGTAGTCACACACCCACCCAACACACCACACACCCCCTAACCTAGCCCCTACTACCCTGCAGCAGCAGTGGCTGTTGACAACCCGGTAGACTTCTCCATGGGCGGGGCAGCGACGACAGCTACGAGGGTGCGGTGGCGACCACGGCGGCGGCGGCAGTGACGACAGCAGTGGCGGCGGCGGCGTGCGGCGGCAAGTAGGCCAGCGGCAACAGCGGCGGCGGCGGGTGCTTCTACAACAGCAGCGGCGGCGGCGGCGCTCGCCCCACTCGGCGGCGTGGCCAGGGTCCGCGATGGTGGGACTGCCGGTGCAAGGCAGCCGTCGGCTGCGGCGAGGAAGAGGGGATGCAGAGGACGGGGGCAGGGCAACAGCAGCCCCCCGGTGTGGCGCGACAGGTCGTGGGCGTGCTGGCGTGCTCTAAGGCACGGCGCTGGCCGCTGTCGTTAGAGACGAATGCGCCCGGGCACCATGTCGCTGAGGCAGCACGGCGGCGCAGGCACGTCGCGACGGCTTAACAGCGACGTCGCCGCGTCGGCTAGCCGTCGACGCCACAATAGCGCGACGCCGCGGTACGCCGACGCCGCCACAGCAGCAAGCAGCGGCGGCCATGGCAGCGCAGGAGAGCGAGGAATGCGCAGCGGAAGTGATAGAAAACGGTCCGGTTGAAGGAACCGGCTCTGATACCATCTCAAAGAAGCTTAGGACACTAGCTAGGTAGCTAGGATGAAGGAACGTAGGTAGGCAGCCACTAGGAAGCTAAGAAGGCCGCCATGAAGATGGCGGCGGGGTTTAGCTAGAAGGTAGGCGAGAGTGTCGAGAGAGAAGTTGTCGATTAGGAAGAGAGAGGAGTACAAGGAGGGGATTGTACCCTCTATAGAAAGGTTCAGTAACAGCTATCAAGCCTATCAATTATATATATAACTTATGTAATATTGACAAAATGTCCTCTGTGGCTTTGTATCCTGTTGATCACAGATAGAAATCGGCGTTAGTGTAAAACGAAGAAACGATAAAAGGAGAAAGAGCTGGAGACATATCGATCCCCCCTTTCACGAAATGGATAAGTGGTAACTGGATGTTTGACGGCTCTGCTGCAGTTGCAATGATACTGCGGCTGTTGATGTGATGGTAGACGGTCCTGCGACAGTTACTATGCGACTCGGCTGCTCGACGACTTCTGTTTTCGCGGCTTCCTCGACGACTTCGGGTTCATCAGCTGCAAGACCACTGATTTCTCCCCAAGATGGAGCTGGAGTTCCTTGGAAAGCGGCACGAGCATTATAAAATGTTCGCCAAGCGTTGGCGCTTTCATCGGCGGTGTTAAAGCCCAGGTCCCAGATTAGAAAAGTCAGACCCGAACCTGCATCAAACTGGGGGCAGTTTGATGTAGGTTCGGGCTGGTAACTGAATCCACACCCCCTTGAACACAAAATGAGCCCAAGCCGAACCTGCGGGGTTTTCGCAAGCAAGAGAGACGAATTCCTGTCAAGGGCAATCCCCTCGGAGCTGGCCCCAGAAAGCCCAACAGCAACAGCAACTCGATGCATGGGCCAACTTGATCTGGAAATATGGGACCAAGCAAACCATCGAGTACGGGGCTTTCGCGTGACAAGAGCAACAGAATAGAGACTCAAGGGACTAGAGTCGACTCAAGATCGAAACGCGAGTACATTATAAGGTTTAACGTGAGGATAGGAGAGTAAGCGCGCCAAAGGATGGCGCCGCGGGACGGTAATGTGGCGCGCGGGTAGATAGGAAAGGCGAGGTTGGATAGGAAAGGCGATACGGAAAGTTGGCGCGAGGGCGAAAAAGAAATGCCAGGCAGAAAAAAAACGCGAGGGCGAATAGGAAATGCGCTGCGAAAAGAAAGAAGCGAGGGCGGAGAGGAGAAGAGAGGCGGAAAGGTGACGCCAGGGCGGACAGGAATGTATTAGGGAAATTTGAAGCGAGGGCGGATAGGAAATGGGAGGTGGGAAGGAGGTGCGCCGCGGAGAGGAGGGCGTGGAGAGTAACGCTGACAGACCGCGTGAAGGAGATGTGAGGGGGGAAGGGGACGCGACGGGGAGAGGGGGGACGCGGCGAGGAGAGGGGACGCGGTGAGGAGGGGGGACGCGGCGAGGAGTGGGGACGCGGTGAGGAGGGGGGACGCGACGAGGAGAGGGGACGTGGTGAGGAGGGGGGACGCGACGAGGAGAGGGGACGCGGTGAGTAGGGGGGACGCGACGAGGAGAGGGGGCGCGGTGAGGAGGGGGGACGCGGCGAGGAGAGGGGACGCGGTGAGGAGGGGGGACGCGGCGAGGAGAGGGGACGCGGTGAGGAGGGGGGAAGCGACGAGGAGAGGGGACGCGGTGAGGAGGGGGGACGCGGCGAGGAGAGGGGACGCGGTGAGGAGGGGGGACGCGACGAGGAGAGGGGACGTGGTGAGGAGGGGGGACGCGACGAGGAGAGGGGGCGCGGTGAGGAGGGGGGACGCGGCGAGGAGAGGGGACGCGGTGAGGAGGGGGGACGCGGCGAGGAGAGGGGACGCGGTGAGGAGGGGGGAAGCGACGAGGAGAGGGGACGCGGTGAGGAGGGGGGACGCGACGAGGAGAGGGGACGTGGTGAGGAGGGGGGACGCGACGAGGAGAGGGGGCGCGGTGAGGAGGGGGGACGCGACGAGGAGAGGGGACGCGGTGAGGAGGGGGGACGCGGCGAGGAGAGGGGACGCGGTGAGGAGGGGGGACGCGGCGAGGAGAGGGGACGCGGTGAGGAGGGGGGAAGCGACGAGGAGAGGGGACGCGGTGAGGAGGGGGGACGCGACGAGGAGAGGGGACGTGGTGAGGAGGGGGGACGCGACGAGGAGAGGGGACGCGGTGAGGAGGGGGGACGCGGCGAGGAGAGGGGACGCGGTGAGGAGGGGGACGCGACGAGGAGAGGGGACGCGGTGAGGAGGGAGGGGGCGCGGCGGGAGGTGAGGCGGAGAGGCGAGGAGGAGAGGGGAGAAGGAGAGGTGGGGAGGAGAGGTGAGGCGGAGTGGCGAGGAGGAGAGGGGAGGAGGAGAGGTGGGGCGGAGTGGCGAGGAGGAGAGGGGAGGAGGAGAGGTGGGGAGGAGAGGTAAGGCGGAGAGGCGAGGAGGAGAGGGGATGAGGAGAGGTGGGGAGGAGAGGTGAGGCGGGGTGGCGAGGAGGAGAGGGGAGGAGGAGAGGTGGGGAGGAGAGGTGCGGCGGAGAGGCGAGGAGGAGAGGGGAGGAGAGGTGGGGAGGAGAGGTGAGGCGGAGAGGCGAGGAGGAGAGGGGAGGAGGAGAGGTGGGGAGGAGAGGTGAGGCGGAGTGGCGAGGAGGAGAGGGGAGGAGGAGAGGTGGGGAGGAGAGGTGAGGCGGAGTGGCGAGGAGGAGAGGATGGGAGGAGAGGTGGGGAGGAGAGGTGAGGCGGAGTGGCGAGGAGGAGAGGGGAGGAGGAGAGGTGGGGAGGAGTGGCGAGGAGGAGAGGGGAGGAGGAGAGGTGGGGAGGAGAGGTAAGGCGGAGAGGCGAGGAGGAGAGGGGAGGAGGATAGGTGGGGAGGAGAGGTGAGGCGGGGTGGCGAGGAGGAGAGGGGAGGAGGAGAGGCGAGGCGGAGGAGGCGAGGCGGAGAGGCGAGGCGTCCTGGCGAGGCGGAGAGGCGAGGCGGAGAGGCGAGGCGGAGAGGCGAGGCGGAGAGGCGAGGAAGAGAGGTTGGGATTAGAGGAGAGGATGAGAGGCGCTGGGAGGTGAGGAGGGGAGGCGGGGATTCTTACCCTTCTCATCCGCCCTGAATCTTCCCACGCCTCGCACCTCCCTTTCCCCATCTCGCAACTCGATTTCCCCACCACACACACCCCCTTCCCCATCTCACACCTCCCTTTCCCCACCTCACTCGTCCTCATCTCCGATTCTCCTCCACCCTCCCCTCCCCGCAGACGTACAAGAGAGCTGGCCTGGCGTACACGCTCTCAGCGGAGTCAGCCCATCTGCTGCAACGAGCCAACACGAGGGTGGGAGGGACGGCAACAGATAGCGCTGGGCTCGACCCGGTGGTATGCTCTGTGCATTGGCTACTCACACGAAAAGCCCCTGTTTCCTTACGTTCCGATGACTCACATCTGTTTGTTTGTTTGCCATGTCGTAGTTTTTTTGGTTTGTTTTGTTTTGTTTTGTTTTTATAATTTGTTTTTTTCGCATTTGCCGGTGCGCGCAGCGAGCTTGCTCACGTGAACGCAATATTCTGAACCTCCGTTTCAATCTAGTTTCGTTTTCTTCCCCCCCCCCTCCCCCCCCTCACAGTGCAGCGTTTACGTCCTCTTCCTCCAACCCTCCGCCCCACCACGCTCTCCCCCCTCATCACCCCACACTCCCACCATCACACCCCTCTTCTCACCTCGAGGATAGCAGCAGCAGCAGCAGCAGCAGCGGCAGCTCCCTGGTGCTGCCTGCGCCGCACTCGGGCCCCTTTATGGAGGGCCGGGAGTGCGAGACGCCCACTTTCAGGGGCAGGGGGGTGCCACCAAACGATAGAGGGGGAGGGGCAGCGGCTGCTGCTACTAGTGCTGCTGCTAGCACGAGTGGGAGGAGCGTTACAAGTGAGCAGCAGGAGATGGTGATCGATCTCTCGTTTGGCTCTGCTTCTTCCCCCGCCCGAAACCCTCCATACATGTTCCACGGCCTAAAAATGAAATGCAACATCATCCCTATCATTAAATAACGAGAAAGATGTGTATAAGAATGATGAGCTCACTTGCAACCACTAGTACTACACTTGCAACTTTGCAAGCGTGACAAGCTCCATGTGAAAAGATTACACATTATGTTAAGTTACAACAGCTTGGTAGTCCTTCCTACCCCCAATCATCACCCGTCAGTAGGAGTCGTGGTGGGGAGGGGAGTACCCCCCGGTCAGCAGATCCGGATTGCCTGAAGCCACCTGGGAGTAGAGCGAAGGATCTGAGAGCGCCCCACCACCAAAATTGCCACCACCACCCCCAACGAATAGCACCGCTGCCCACCCCTCAAGAGCCACCAGCAGAGGGTCCGTTCGGTGCTGCGGCAGCAGCGGAGGCTGCAATGGCAGCAATAGCGCCTACCTCCACACTCCAGATGACGCTGGGTTTGTGGCAGACCCAACCAGCCCCTGCTGCTGCTGCTGTTGCTGCTGCTGCTGCTGCTGCTGCATCAATTGCTGCTGCTGCGGCGGCTGCTGAGAGCTATCCGTTCCAAAGGGGGCATAGTGGGACTATGGCCGTGGGGCGCCTGTGCTTGCTGCTGCTGCTGCTGCTGATGCTCCCGCTGACGCCGATGCTAGACGTGCGGTGCTGCTACTTGTGCCGATGGTGCCACTGCTGGCGACGCTCCTGTGGATGCAGATAACATGGCACGTAGTGCTGCCGCTGACACCGCTAATGCTGCTGCTGCTGCAGTGGTTGTTCCTTGACCTGTCTCTAGACCCCCTACCCCGCCTCTCTGGCTGCCTGACTGTGTAGCAGAAGCAGAGTGGGAGCGAATGGGGGTTGGGGAGATCGGTGTGGAGTGGTAGTAGCATGAAGCAGCAGCAGTAGCAGCTGACGGAGAGGGCAGGGTACTTCTCTTTTGAGAACGTTGATGTCAAACGTGTCATCCTCAGAAGGAGACGATGCCCCTGAGTATGCATTGGAGCCATCACGTGGAGCATGAGCATCCCTTTCACCTCCTCCCACCCTCAACGCTGCTGCCCCTGATGGTACTCGTGATATCTGTACTCCTCCCCTGCCTCCTGCTTTCTGACCCATCCCTGCAGCAGCAGCAGCATCAGCGGCTGCAATAGAGCCAGCCGCAGCGGCGACAGCACCAGCAGTTGCCAAGCCACCAGCAGCACCAGACACTGTGACCTCCAGCAGCCCACCCTCCCCTGAATCCCCCCTCCCTGAGTCTCCCCTCCTTGACTCTCCCCCCCTTGACTGCCTTCCAGCTGAATCCCCTTCCACACTCTGCCTCAACCAACTCCCTCTCATCCCTCCTCCCACCCCCACACCCCCACCAGACCCAACATCCCCACCTCTCCCACCTCCCCCCCCTGCAATCCCCACACCATATGCCCGCCGATGATGGGGAGGGGGTGGAAAGAGGGGCATACCGCATGCTGAACGGGGCGGTGGTGGCGGTATGGGCGGGGGAGGGCGAAGGGGAGGCAAGGTTGGAGTAGCGGCCTTGCTGGAGCACCTGTTGCTGGTGCTACTGGTAATGGTGGTTGTGGTGGTGGTAGTGCTACTGCTGGTGATTTCCAGAAGGAGTGGCATCAACAGAGCGGGCATGGGAGGAGACGTGAGAGGGGGAGGTGGGGACTGGATCAGGGATGATGGATGAGGTGAGCAAGCTGCCGAAGATGGGAGCGGAGCCGGGCGCGGCCCTGCTGAGGCGAGCCGTGAAGAAGAAGGACGAGCCCTGGTTGGGCTCGCTCTCTAGCCAGATCTCCCCGCCCATCACGTGCACCAAGCTGGGGGGTGTGGGCGGGGGAGGGGAAGAGAAGACAAGGATTGGTGGAGCAAAAGGAAGGACGACGAGCCCTGGCTGGGCTCGCTCTCCAACCAGATCTCCCCCCCCCATCATGTGCACCAGGCTGTGAGGGGGGGGGGAGTGGGGGAGGGGAGCTGGACAAAGGGACAGCGCAGTCAGCCCATCCTCTACCACCCCTGACCTTCCCTCCTCTAACACCCCTGACCTTCCCTCCTCTACCACCCCTGACCTTCCCTCCTCTACCACCCCTGGTCCAGGCCCGGGCCCGGGTACCTGCACTTGCTCCCTCTCCCACAAGCTCCAACCGCCCCCCGAGGGGGGGTTGGAGGCGGGAGGGGGGAGGAGGTGGGTTGAAGAGGGACGAGTGGCCCTTGTTCTGCGGACACGCAAGTAAAAGGGGCAGGACACAAGAAGAAGACCCTTGAACTGGAATGTTCTCAAGAATAGAAGAACAGATTTTGGGCATTCGGAGATGAGCACTGATGTGAGGGGAGAGAGATGGGATACAGAGGGCCCACGGAGCAACTGGGGACTCACAACATTCCGCTGTAGGATCATGTAAACGTAGGCCACCCTGGTGTCTTTGCTCCCCCACACCGATTGGGATGCGACAGCACACCCACCGTGTACATGGTACAAAAGCGCTCACGGTCAGCGATGTAGGCCCGACATGACACCTTGTAAACCGCAAGAGTAGTGAGGGGCATGGAAAAGCAAGAACGTATGGGCTCCATTTTTAGCAGGTCACTCATGTCGTAGTTAGACATGAATGATTCGAAACAATCCCCACTAGCGATACCCACACACTTGCCCCTCATTAAATGCGTGCGACGACATGGGCACAAGCGTGCAAGCACTCACCAGCTAGACTGCGTCGCACCCCAGGGCGCGTCCCACGCGTCATGCGCCTTGTAGCCTGTGGGATCACTGGAGTTATCGGATTCTCCACACCATTGACAGATGGAAATCGGGATGCCGCCTCTGTCCGAGCCCTTACTGCCACAGGTTCTTCTGAGTCCTCCCCCTCTGCACCCCCTTCCCCAAATTCGTCCGTTGCGCAATGCCATTCCTGCAAAATGTTGTCGACCCACCCCCATTCCATTGGGCCAAGCACCCGGTCCCGCCGGCCCCGCCGCACCCGTGTTGTATGCCGCACCCTGGTGACGTACGCTCTGACGATGCGGTCCATGGTATTGTTCCAGTGCAAGACAGCCAGGGCTACTCGTGCATCATAAGTCCCCTAGAACCTAATGTGTTTAGGCGCATACTTTATGGTAAGCGAGTGAAATGACTCATTCATTGAACTAGTCGCTCCCTCCACAATGCACGCGACCTTGGCGTGACTAAAGTGTAGTTGGCACCATCCTGCACTGCCTTGTGGGTCGGAGAATTGGGTTAGTACACAGCACTCTCCACACCCCAATTCTCTGACACACACCTCGGCGCACGCTCGCCTGCCCTATGGAAGCGTGAATGATCACCAGCCCAATGATCAGCCGCGCAGCATAACTCCTCTGAAAGTACCTCGGGGGATCGTGGGTGACCTCCCTCTGCTGATGCACTGCAGCGCATCATGCAATGGTAGAAATGAACAACTAGCCGGTCGGCCACTGTCACCTCCTTCACCCTTGGCCCTGCATCACCAGCACCTGCGCCATCCCCACCCGTCCCACGCCTAGTCCGCCTACGTAGTGTTCGCCTTCCCCACCTCCTTGTGGTCACTTCCCCAGCGGCACCCTCGGAGTTGATATTTTCGTCTCCCTCGACCGCCAGCCTGCCAGACCCCGCACCGATGTCTGTTACTGTGGCGTCGGTGTGGTCGCCTTGCCCTGCCCACAATCAAGAAAAGGGGGTTCGAATAGAATATGTAAGGCAGGATCTGGGGTACGCACTATGGGCACTATGCGTACAGATGCATATGCTTACCCCTGATGGTCTCTTCATCATCGGCGCCATCTCCCATGAAGTGTGTATTATCACCTATTCTACTCCAAGCTTGCACAAGTAGCATTGATGCATGTGATGAGGGTCGTACCCCATGCACGGGATGCGCATCGTATCCCCATAACTCATCCACGTCGGCCCAACGGACCTCGGCAATAGGAACCTTGCCATGCAGAGCTTCTTTTGCTGCACCATCGCCATCCCCGTCTGTGGCCATGTATGCCCTTTCAGACTCTCCCACATCCTCCTCTTGCCGTGCACCCCCAGCAGTATTGCCACTACCGTCCACCCGCAGCACCTGCTGCAACTCGGGATGCAAATACTTAGCGTCGGCCGGCTCCATGTCCTTGAAGACCAGGCTACGTGTCTCGCATACTACACGCACCAGCTCTTTTTTTCCCATCGCACGACTGCACCTCCGACCACCATTTGTAGGATGCCTCAACCACGACACGAGCCTATCTACAGTGATAAGATATAGGTCCTCACATTCAGACGCCCCATCGACTGTACCCACCGTCCGCAACTTGTCCTGCACATCTTTTTTTAAGCTACCCACCTCTGTGCCACACTTGTGCCACCAATCCACCTGATGCCTCAACCCTCTGTCTCTCGCCGCACTCTTGAAACTAGCACCCTCATCGGTAATGATGCCTTCGACATGAAATCCACCTCCCTCTAACTCATCCATACCCTGGTGGAATGCAACCCGCTCAAGCCCCACCGATGAATCGTCGTCCCTCCCCCGCCTCGTATTTTTTACCAGCACAATTTTTTACGGGTCTGTTTGTCCATCCACGAAACAATGCACCACTTCGCCTCACACACCTGTGACCACCTACCATCGACACATAGCCACTCGCAATGGATTGGACGCGACAACATGCTCGCACTCACCATCTCCATGTTTTTCTTGGCCTGCTCCACTATTACTGCCCACAAACCATTATCCCCCCCCCATAAATCGGTAGAATGTTCCATGCCCGGGACGCGGTACACCAAGGTTCCGACATACCTCCCATGTTTTTTGGAAACCTAGACCGGCAAGAGCAAATGCACCCACGAGCTCCGACAACATCTTCGAGCTACGTGGACCACGCTTGTTTGACGAGAGATCTTCCCTGACACGACTAGTGGACCAGAACTCCTCCTTTGCATAGCAAGCATCACATAGCCACAACAGTCCTAAACATGCCCACGACCGCTTCCACGACCCCAGTTGCATACTTCCCTTACAGTTGGGCTTCTCGCACGTCCCCAAAGCACGCCCACAAAAGAATGACACAATAACACGTGGGTCCAAAAAGCAGACCATGTCGG